TTGGGGGGGGGTGGGGGGGTCTCATATATTTATTCTCAAATCCTCATACTGCCTATGCTCCAAAACAGCAACTCAGATATCCTCTAGAAGAGTCTCTACTGAAAAATATGATTCGGCACAAATGTCTTCCAAGTTTTCTAACTCAAAAGGTTTCAGGTGGGAAATCTGTAATGAGAATGTGCCACTTCTGCCCTCCTCGCCACTGAATCATTGCAGAATAAAATGCATCCCTTTGGTCAAAGGTGTTTCATGTGTCTGTAAAAAATCGTATACATCCTATCAATTTGTTAACAAATATCAACTACAAGAGTCTTCTGGCAAAAGCTAGCAATCAATTAAGATTATGGCACCCTAATGATTACAAATCAACATTTTTATAGCACATGCTGGGATCTTCCTAAGTACTTCTTAAAACAGGTTTTGGCAATCTGTTGTTGAAAGGAAGAACTTCATAACAGTCTCAAAAAGAAACCAAATACAGTAGTCCACATGCCATCTTCAGTCATATACTAGATACTGCCTCCAAGCCAGGGAAATTTAGTTAACATTTAACTAGACGAGTTACAAGTGATTTGTTTAAGTTCGATTAATTTCAGTGGGATTTCAGTATGAATAATGAATGATAGCAGAAAAATCAAAGCTACTGTGCCCATTTTGTGATGCCTGAAAGTTCTTACATGTGTACAAAAAGACAAAGACAGGCTACTGCATTGGCACCAGAGCATTTCCACCAGCTTGTTAAAGCAAGAATACCAACACACTATGGATGCTTCTATCATGACATACATCCCAAAATCCCTTCTATGTAGGAAATAATTGTAGGAGACAGAAACGTGCAACAGCTGGCTCTCTGTCTATTTTATCAGGTGCTCATTGCTGGAAAGCCCCATTTTCTGGGCAGGAAATGTCATCATGGTTGAAACAGCTTTTAGATACAGAGCTAGGTGGTCGCTACTTCATAAATCAAATGTCTTATAGCAATATCTGTATCATATTCTAAGAGACTTTGGCACAAGATTAAAAGAACAACCATTCTGAGGTACATGCACTGCTAGTTTTTGCCATATGTGCTTTACAGAAATTCAGTATCTCAAGAGATCTAAATGACCTAGAAATTGTGCTTGGTATAAAAAAGAATGGGTTCTGGGATAGAGAGAGCTTCAGATCTCATCTTATAGAGGTTTCCAGGCAAGGGGAAAAAACACTTCCTCACATTAAAAGCATTAAAAAAAAGTACTTAATGAGTTTTAAGGGGGCTTGATTTTTTATCTCTTTCATTCAAATTCATCTTTTATTAACATGCAATAAACTACCAAAAATATGTTGATATTTTGCTTTCACACTGAATTTCAGGCTAGAAACCACCACCAAGAATATAAATAACTTCAAAGTGTAAGTGATTTCATGCAGCCTGGTATTTTACCTCCCCAGCCCATTTCATAGTTACATATTTTTTATTCATAGTCAAGCCATGTAATCAATATCCACCTATATCCATGGCCCAGCAGGTACGTAGTAATGCACCAATGTGCTTCAGTTCAAATTCACACAGATACAAATATTACCAAAGTCCTAAGATCCAGAATTGGCTTACATGCACTCAGTGGGATTTTTATTATATGTAATTAATTTTTTCCCATATCACAAACTATTCTTGAATTGTTACTGCTGCTCAACCATTATTCCAAATATACACATGTACACTCACATGTGTGTGTGTGTGTGTGCATGCGCAGACATATACACACACCTCCGCAGTGTTCTCTAGATCCTGACCACATCTACTATGTAATTTATACTGAACAATTCAGATCCACTTGCTTACTAGGGTGTTTTTCAAATTCCACAAAGCACCTCATTTCAGAAGGTTTAGCTGGCCTCAGCACAGCCAAATAACCTAGCTGCATAGGAAACATTCTGCCAAAGATCCCTTGCATATTAGGCTGCTACTTGAAAAGGCCGTAAATGGTCCAGAGCAGACCATAAACAGACAGAACACCTTCATTCTAGTGGGAAGTTCCAAGATGCATCATATACTCACCTTCTAAGTTCTACAAATGTTCAAAAAGTGTCTTGAGAGCACCAACTGGCTCAGAGGTAAGTTTATAGCAGGACGTGATGGTCCTGGTTGTAAGGCATTGGTGACTTATTTATTATGCAGTTTACTGGTAGCAGACTCAAATCAGCATCAATTTTTCATACTGAAAACTGCATGAATTCAAGTTAAAAGATTCTTAAGAGCCCAGTGTATTTTGCACTAACTCTCAGAGTACAGACTTGTGAGACAGAATGCATTAAAATACTAGGTGACAGCAGTTTTGAATGCAGATTAAAAACATTTTTAAGGGACACACAGACTATCTGGAATACAAAACCCCAGTTAAATTGGGGGGGGGGAGCCACTGAGTGAAAATCATACTTAAT